GGGGTCCCCGCAGGGGGAGGCTTGCTAAGAGAAAGGCCAGGCTGGCCTGGAATGCCCTTTGGGCTGCCTGCCTGACCACCCATGTCCAGGGAGGAGAGAGTGGTGTCAAAGCTGACAGCCCTGCTTGGTGCTGACTCCCCTTATCAGACCCCAAGGCACCCCTGAGTGAGTGGACTCTCTGGGAGGGGTCGATAAGGAAACACAAGGCGTGGACAATGGCAGGGCACCCCCTGGAGCAGCACCGGGAACAATGCTGGTCACAGAGGGTTAATTAGGGAGGGAGAGTCCTGGCAGGCAAAGCTGAGAGGGGCCCGACCCCAACCAGGCAGCAGAGGTGGGGGCAGGCAGATGCTTCCCCATTCCCATCCCAGACACTCTTAGGTCCAAAACACTTCCCTTCTGCAGGGCCTTTGCACACAGTTTCCTCAGCCAGTAACACTGCTCTGTTCACTTGGCTGGCCACTCACGTCCTTCAGGGCTCAGTTCAAATGCCACCTCCTCCAGAAAGCCTTCCCTGCCTCCCAGAGCAGACCCAGTACCCTCAATATATGTGATTGTCCCTCCCCACACATTCCCTCCGGAGCTTTTATCATTAATGACTTGGATGCTGGATTTGGTCATTTCATGTGAGCGCAAGGATTGTGTCCATCTCTGTCCATTCCCCACTCGATCCTGGTTTCCAGCACAGGGCCTGCACACAGTAGGAGCTCAACCTACTGCATACATGAATCAGTGAACAGGCAGCTGGCTGTGTTCCTCCGTCAGCGACATGGGATAGTGTCCTACTGGCAGAGGCATGAGTGGGGACACCTGGCCAGCATCAAGCACATAGTAGGTGCTCAGCTGATGAGTGGTCAAGGTGAGCTGGCTCCCTGCATTAGCTTTGCATCACTCTCCCCCAGCCTGTGGGGGGGGGGGAGGGCTCTGTCTGCCCTGAGTCAGGGGATGGCAGGTCAGCACACTTTCTTGAGCACCTACTGTGTACCAGCTGCGCTAGTGTGGGCAGGTAGGCAGGAGGGCCATCCCTACCAGGCACAGACCTGCCTCCTTCTTGCCTGCAGAGCAAAACTCTCAGGGTCCCAGGCATCTCCTGGCACACAGTAGAGCCTCAGTTTATGGCTTGGGGTTGAGAGGATGGGACTCAGGACGGGCAAGTTTTGATGGGACAGGTGGCGGTTGGGGGCAGCTGTTAGGGGATTCAGAAGGGACAGGTGAGGGAGCATCAGACAGTGGGGACCCTGCTGTCCTCTCCCCAGAGCCCCAGGGTCCCCAGCAGCTTGGGGTCTGCTTTCCAGCCACGGGCAGCTCCAGCCTTTAACTGAATTCCTGGCCAAGGTCCTACTAGGGGCCTAAAAGGGCTTGTGAAGTTCGGAGCTCTAGTGCCTGTTCATGCAGGCTCCCAGCAAGCCCCTGCGCCGCCCCTGGGCCTCAATCTCCCCATCGGTGTAATGGCAGCATAATGCTTTCAAACTCCCTCACCTTCTCCAAGAAGTTCCTGGGTGGAGCAAAAGGATAAGCGCTTGGCTACTAGCTGAAAGTTTGGCGGTTCGAACCCACCTAGAGGTGCCTGAGAAGAAAAGCCTGGCCATTTGCTTCTGAAAGGTCACAGCCTTGAAAACCCTATAGAGCAGTTCTACTCTGCACACGTGGGGTTGCCATGAGTTGGAGTCGACAAACAGCAACGCCTGCTTCATGCTGGGCTCCTTTGCCTTCTGATGCAGTAGGTAGGCTCAGCCAAGGCCTGACCCAGGAAGCGAGGGGGGCAAGGCCTGGAGAGGAGAGCTGGCCTTGAGCCGTCTGTATTGGGATCGGCTGTTCACTCCTCCCGGTGGAAGCTGCACAGTGTCCCCTTGGGGAGCGGGGGCCAAGAGCTTCCATGCTGACCTCACTTTCTGGGGGAGCGGTGCCAGATGTGGGCTGGGGGAATAGCCCGGCCTGGCCTGAGACCCTGGCAACTCTGGGTACTCCGTACTGGGTGGGGGCACAGGGTGCAAGGGGATGACAAGGCTGGAAGGAGTCTGCTCTAAGAGCCCCAAGGCAGGAGTTCGAGTCCTGGCTCTGCCACCCACTCAGCAGGGGTTCCCAGGGGTGCTCCCTCCACATACACAGATGAGGCCTGGAGCCTGTCTTTGTCCCAGGTGGGGCCGAGGGTGCCCAGACTTCTGAAAGCTATGGAGACCCAGGCTGGGGGACCACAGGCCAGGCCCATCCCCTGCTGGCCTCAAGGGGAAGTTGGTGCAGAGAGAGGCCGGAGCATGCAGACCAGGGGTTCCTCAGGCTGCCTTACCCCTGGGCCAGGGTCCCCAGGCCACAGTACAGGGCCTCTGGTCCCGCTGAGGATATGGGCAGCCGGCTCCCTCCGCCCGAGGCCCCTCCATTAGCACTGACAAAGCAAGGAGGGGGACGGAGCACAAGGGGACACTGGCCTGGGCTCCTGTGTCCAGGGCTGCAGTGACCCCAGGCCCACCTGCCCTGCCAGGAGACAAGCTCGAGGGGCAAAGATTGGTGTCGCTAGGCCCAGTGTACAGCTGGCAAGACTGAGGCCCAGAGAGGCCACCAGCTGAAGGCCACCGGCTGAGGGAAGCCTGTCCTGGCCCCCAGTTAGTGTCCCCACCTGACACTAGGACTCCCTGATCCCGGCACCCCCTGGATAAGGGGCAGGGCAAGAAGGGAGAGGTAAGAAGAGGCTTCCCCCCTGCTGAGCCACTGTGGCCTGGGGACCCCTGTGGCTGCCCCTTTGGTAGGGGCGGGTATGAGGCCAGCAGGATTCAGACGTGGATGGGGCAGCGTGGGTCCAGGGTGCCAGCTGCCCTGCAGTGCCACCACTGCCTAGTGCTGCCCCCTGCAGGCCGAAGCCACTGTGGCCATGCTGGGCAGGAGTGTGCAGCAGAGGGACTGTGGCCCAGGGGCAGGGACAATCAGGGCCACTTCATGTCTCTTCCCACCTTTAGCACTCTCCCCTCACAGCCCAAACTGACCAGACACACCCCCAGGCACCCACACCCAACCAGTGGACGGGGGGAGAGGCCTGGCCAGACTCAAGGCCAGCACTGCCAAGGGCCTGGGTGAAGAACAGGGACACTTTGGGGGCTGAAGGGAATACACGGGGACGGGGTATATGGGAATCTGGAATTGCGGCTGGGGCACCCCTCGGGATCGTCAGGAGGGTCTGGGGGTCTGGCTAAACGCCAATCCACCTTGAGACACACTGGGCAGGAAAAGAAAGGGACCACCCCCGCACCCACCCTCTAGAGCTGCACGCTTGCGCATACAGTGTCATACACACACAGGCGACATGTCCACTCACACACTCTCATCTAAACACAGCTACACAGGGCCACACTCACCACATGCTCACTGTGCTCACTGCACAGTCACCCACACACACGTACACTCACCTGCATGCTCACTTGCACACTCACACCCACACACATACACTCACTGCACACCCACAACACACACCCACACACCTATACTCTGCACAAACACACCCACCCACATGCATGCTCACTGCACATTCACCCACACACTACACTCACTGCACACTCACCTACACTTATCCACACACACTCACTGTACACTCAGAAACAAAAACACATGGACACTCACTGCACACTCACACAAATTTACACTCACCTGCACACTCACACATGTACTCACCTGCATACTCACCCACACACATACACTTACTGCACACAACTCATCCACACATATACTCACCTGCACACTCACATACAGTCGCCCGCACACTCACCCACATGGACAGTCACTGCACATACACACACATACACACTGCACACACACACGTGTGGAACTCACTGCACAGTCACACACACACGGACACTCACTGCACATTCACACACACACACACACTGCACACTCATACCCACACCTACACACATGGACACTCACTACACATACCGACATACATGGACAGTCACTGCACACACACCCACACACATGGACACTCACACCCACACACACAAGGACACTCACTGCACACTCACAGCACACTCACACATACACACCCACACATATACACTCTGCACACACCCACACACGGACACATCACACAGTCACACACACACACTCACCTGCACTTGCTCACAACTCACTGCACTCACCTGCATGCTGTCACTTGCACACTGACCACACACTCACTGCACACACTCACCACACACTCACTACACTTCCCACACACTCATTGCACACTCTGCTCCTGGGGTGCTCCTTGCTCCCCACCTGTTCCTCTCTCACCAGCTCCCTGGAGGGTCCAGTCAGGGGGCTCCCCTCAGCTGCCCTGAGAGCGTGGGGAGACTCTGCTCCTCTCCCCCATTCACTGTCCCAAGGGCCACAGCCTGGCTGCCCCCTCCCAGTCGCCCAGCCTGAGAGGGGCAAGGTGCCAGGCTGGGGGGTGTTGGGTGTGAGAAAGGCCCTCCCCGCCACCTCCTGCCCAAGCCTGGAATGCGCTGACCACAGCGGCCCAGTCCTAATCCCAACTCTGTGCCTGGGCCAGCAGAGCTGCTGGAGCAGGGCGGCAGAGAGGGTGGGGGTGGATAGGTGGGGGTTTCAGGGGACAGGCTGGTGACTCTGGATGGTCCTGTGGTACCAGGCAGTCAAAACAGACCCCTAGAAGGCCAGGGAAGGGTTGGTGGCACGCCTCCCCTCCCCCACCTTGGCCTTGGGCCCCTGGGAGCTAAGCTCAGGGGCCTAAAGGAGGAACCTGGGCTGGGCAGTCCACGTCCTCTCTGTGCTCTTCCTACAAGCATGGGGGAGAGGCCACCCGTCCAGCTGTCTGAAGGGTCCTAAGAGGTGAAGTCAGGGCAGGGGGACGGGGTGGGCGGCCTGGCAGGGGAGAGTTCCAGGGATAAGAGATGAATGGGGCTGGGGGAAGGGCACAGTGAACTTGTCAGCCCCGCCCTGGCCTGGGGGCGGGGCTCCTTCCAGCCCCCACTGCCTATATCTTGGGCTTGCCCCACCTTCCCACAGTAGCTGGGAAGATGGCACTGCAGGTGGGTGAGACCCCAGGGTTGGGCCACACATTTGGGCCTCGGTGGGGAAGGGAGCAGAGCCAGCTGGGGGTGCCTCGCCGCCTGTGCCCCTCCTCATAGATCTGGGGGGCAGGTTCCGACTTCTCATCAGACCCCATGCTGAGAGGGTGTGGGGAGGGGGCCCAGAGTCGGTCTGCTAGGCAGTCTCCGTGCCTTTCACCTCATTGTGAAGGAAACGTCCTTAGAGGGACAGGGTTCTGGGGAAGACCACACCCGGGACTGGGGCCAGGCTGGCTGGGGCCCTCTAGATAGAGGGTGCACCGTGGGGGAGGGAGGCCATGGAGCCCTGGGCCTCCCCTCCTCTTTTGCAGTTCGAAGCCTTCTACTCGGGGGGCCTGGCCCCTGGCTGGAGCCTGCTGGTCCAGGGACAGTCCAACTCCAGAGAGGACAAGTAAGGGACATGGCCCCTCAGGCTCCCTCTGGGGTCCTGAGGGATGACTGGTCACAGGGCTGTGGGGCTGGTAAGCTGTGTGCTGCCCTTATGACCCACAATGCTCCCACCCAGGTTTGAGATCAACTTCTTGTCCGAGTCGGGGGACATCGCCTTCCATGTGAAGCCCCGCTTCTCCAGCGCCACCTTGGTGGCCAACGCCTTCCAGGCCGGCAGCTGGGGCCCGGAGGAGGTGTCCAGTATCTTCCCGCTGGTGCTGGGGGAGCCCTTTGAGGTGACGGACGGGGGGCAGTGCAGAGGGGTGGGTGAGACCCATGGGTATAAGGGAGGCCCATGGGGGGATGGGAATGTGGAAGACAGGGAAGGTCTGTGGGGGGCAATGCTGTGGTGCCGTGGGGGTGACAGGGGAGACCCAAGGAGGGGTGGGCAAGGCCCATAGGGGTGAGGTGGATGAGCCCCATTTAAGGGGAGGCCCAGGGTAGGGGTACCCTATGGAGCATAAGAACACTCTCCTAGGCTTTGCGAGGAGGATGGATGCCCTAGGAGGGTGGGGATCCCTGTCTTTCCAGCTCCAACAGGCACTGTGGTCCAGCAGGAGCTAGGGTTGCGGGGGAGGGAGAGGGACTTACCGTGGCTGTTTTCTCTGCTGGATCTGGGTAGCAGCCCTCCCTGTCTCCCCATCTGAACAGTGGGAGCCCCCTGCCCTGGCTGCCAGGCACCCCGTTTGGAGAGAGAAGGGAGACCCCCACCTGGGGCTCAGAGCTCTCATTGGGGCCAGTGGGGTGGGCCTGCATAGAGTGCCGTGTGCCGGGGGTCCCTGAAGCTGGGCCTCCTGGACTCATACAGACACCGCCTGCCTGCCCCCAGCTGGAGGTCCACGCAGACGCAGTGCAGTTCCACATCCAAGCCCAGGGGCTGGAGGTGCTGCACTTCGAGCACCGCCACAGGCCCCTGGCGGCAGTCACCCGGGTGCAGGTGCTGAGTGATCATCGCCTGGCCCTGGTCGAGCTCACCAAGAGGGGCCCGAGCTGGGGGTGAGGCTCCTGCACCCCTGGGCCCGCCCTCCCTGCCCCACACTGCGCACTGGCAGGAATCTTGCTTCTTGTCATTACCTGGAACCCTCACGGGGGTGGGGGGGCGAGTGGCTCGCAGCTATGGGTTGGTCCCCTGCCCTCTGCTCTTCCAGCCTGCCCGCCTACATTCACAGCCAAGAGTGGGGTCCACTGTCCACCCCCTGGCCCCGAGTCTGCATCCAGTGGTGGGGTGGGGTTCAGGCCTTGGGTGCTTGTAGGGACAGCGGCAACTGAGAGGAGCCGCAGAGCCAGGAGCTGAGCCTTGGTCACCCCGCATCTGGGGCCCTGGAGTCCCCCAGTGGAGCGGGGATGAGGCAGAGGATTGTGGCTCTGTGGCCCCCACTCTGGCTCCACTGTCAATAAAGTCTGAGCAGAAACTTGGCTGCTGTGAGTGGGGTCAGTGGGGAGTGGGGACTGGGGTGGGGGTCCCTGAGAGTGACAGCCCAGGGATGGTCTGACCCCCACCTTGTCTGAACCCCTAGACTGGGGGGTCTAGGGTGGGACAGGGATGGACACAGGGCAGTGGGGGAGGGGAGAGGCTGGGCACTGTCCCCCACCTCTGACTCCTACCTCAGCAGGACTGACAGACCCTGTCACCCTGGGGACGGGTGTCAGCCAGCATGGGCTTGATGTGAGGGTTCCAGGGCACTGGCCCAGCCCTCCCTCAGGGGCCTTGGGTTCAAAGACCCTCGTGACCCAGTCCTGCTGAGGCCATGCTCTGCACCCCCTGAGACAGTCGCCCTGGGGGCCCCAGAGCTTCCTCCTCCCCCTGCTTCCTGTTGGGGCAGCAGGAAGGGTCTTCCTGTTTCCCCTCATCCCACCTGGAGTGAGACGTGCCTCTGTCCCTGCTGCCTCTTGTGTGGGTGGCGGGAGGGTGGGAGTGGGGATGGGAGGGTGGGGGCAGGAGCTAGAGGGGCCTCAGGCCACATATGGGGAGTGAGTGTGGCTGGGAAGAGGCTCCCGGCCTGGTCTCCACTTTCCGGAGCTGCTCCTCACTGGCAGTGGGAACTTTAACACAGGCCGTTCCCTCTTTGAGCCTCAGTTTTCCCATCTATAAAATGGGCGAAATGCCCAGAACTCACAGTTTCCTGAGACTGAATGAGATGGGCTATGATGGGCTCAGTCCCTGTATGATAGAGCCGAGTGCCCCAAGGGGGGAGTTGAGATGGCTTCAGGGGCATCCACCGGTTTTCTGTTAATAATTATGTATTAATTTTAATATTACTTATCAATAATACATCACCTATTTGTCACTATATCTACTTATCTATAATCTGTATCATCTATCATATCCAACTTATCTATCATCTATCTACCTATTATCTATTTTGTTGTTGTTAGGTGCTATTGAGTCAATTTAAGCTCATAGTGACCCCAAGTGACAGAGCAGAACTGCCCCCGTACGGTTTTCTAGGCTGTAATCTTTACAGAAGCAGATCTCCACGTCTTTCTCCCAGGAGCCACAAGGTGGGCTAGAACTGCCAACCTTTCAGTTAGCAGCCAAGCGCTTAACCATTGCACCACCAGGGTTCCTATCATCTGTTCACCTTTCTCTGTATCTATCTATCTATAACCTACCTTTCATCTATGTATCTATGTGTTTATTTATGTTACTATTTATCTATGCATCTTATTATGTATCTATGTACCTATCTGGAAACCCTCGTGGCATAGTGGTTAAGAGTCCGGCTGCTAACCAAAAGCTTGGCAGTTCAAATCCAGCAGGCATTCCTTGGAAATCTTATGGGGTAGGTCTACTCTGTCCTATAAGGTCGCTATGAGTCGGAACTGACTCGATGGCAACGGGTTTGGGTTTTTTTGGATGTACCTATCTAATTATCTATGTATCTATCTTAAATTGGTTAGGAGGCTCAATAGGTACCTCACCTTCACAAGTGAGTTATTTAAAGAAAACCATCAGGTCTGTGCAGCACTGACAAGAAAGCACAGGGGTGAAGGCCGGGGACTTGGGAAGCAGCCACTTTGCCTTGAGTCCCAGCTCTGTCCCTTTCTCCATGTAGGACCTTGGGCAGGTTCTTATAAAATGGGGACCATTGGCACTTTCATAGGGTATCATGGGGCTCAAGTGTGTCACCCTAAACGGAGGGCTTACAGCAGTGGCTGGCATCAGCCATGACACTGCCCAGTGGGGAGTTCCAGGCACTGCACAGCTCTGCTCAAACACCTTGCCCTTGAAGTTTCTCAGATGGGGAAACTGAGGCTGGGGTGGCGGTGGGACGTTGCCCAAGGACCATATCACGGCAGCAGCAGGCTGGGGCTCAGAGAGGCAGGCCCAGCATCCCCCTGCTGTCCTGCAGAGCTCCAGGAGGGGTCTGGGCAGACAGAGGGGAGACATGGAGCCCCACCCCCAGGTGAGACAATGGCACCCAGACTCCAGCGGTGCAGCCTTCCTTCCTGTCTCCCTCACTTCCCCGCCTGGGTCCATGGCCCAGCTGGCGCAGGAGCCTTCCCGTCCCCTCCTGTGGGAGGCCTGGCCTTTTGTGTAACCGGGAGGGGCTGGGGGCTGGCCGGGGGCTGGCCAGCGGGCGAGGACTCCGGCCAGGTCCCAGCCAGGGGAATGACTAGAGCAGTGGGGAAGGGGTTAACTGCTTAACCCACACAGTGGGACACCTGGGCTTGGCCTTAGTGCATAGGGGATGTGTAGGGCAGCTGATGATGTGAGTCCCTGTGACCTGGGCTGTCTGCTCACCCTCTCTGGGTCTCAGTTTCCCTGCAGTAAAAGGCTCCTGTCCTGGTGAAGCTCATCCTCCCCGATAACACTGTGAGGAGGGAGGTGGAAAAGCCACGAGAAGATGCCAGGTTTTCCTTCCTTGACACAGAGGGGGTGGGGCGGCGGGGCCTGGGGACAACCCGGAGCTTCGAGAAGGAATTTCTCTGGGCTCTACCCTAGGGTGGGGCCCTCACTGTCTTCTCAGAACCCCCATAAGGCATGGAATGCAGCACCTGTTTTAAGGAGCAGAAACCGAGGCTCAGAGAGGCTAAGGGACTAGCCCGGGGCCACTCAGCAAGTGAGGGACACTAGCCAAAAACCTCAGGTCTGACAGACCACATACACTCTCACACACACATTCCCAAACGTACACACATTCTCACACATGCACACACCCCACACATGAATGCACACATGTATACAACTCTCTCACACATTCCTTGGAGGGTTAGGCCCGTGGACTTCCCAATCCGACAGACTGACCAAGTGTGCCAGACTCTCCGGATGGTCAAGGGGAGGGCTCAAGTGCCCACAGGGCCAGAAGGGCAAATGCGACTAAATGAAGCAGATGGGGGTGGGGCAATAGGGACTGGTAGGGTCTTTGACTAACAGGAAAGCACATACCCCATCCTGCTCAGCTCCTCCCAACTCTGAACAGGGAAATGTGGGCCCAGAGTGGGCAAATCTTTTTGATTTAAAAAAATATGAAGTCAAATATTTGTCTGATATCTCTGTTTTTAAACACTGGCTACTATGTTAAGACACAAACAACGTATCAATCAGTAGGTAGCTGTCCCTGGGGTGAACAGTTTGAGTCCTCTGCTTTAAAACCAACTCTTGCCCCATTTTGGCCTCTGCTCTTTCGCCCCTCCCCACCAGAAAGAGGTTACTGGTTGCCCAGGGTGGGGGGATGCCTCTCTCCCCCATAGTCCAGCCCCTTCCTGAGGCCTCTTGGGACCTGTGAGGAACAGACTGACCAGCAGAGGGCACTACAGACATGGGTTTTCTTCAACCCCAACTCCAGGTTGCAAAGACCAACCTGCAGAGCTGGCACAGGGTAGGGTCTGTATTCCGGGGCCCAGGGGTTTAGTTCCCACAAAATGAGAGCCTAGGTCTGGGACCAGGGGCTGAGGCAGGGGAACCAGGGACGGGAGCCAAGGCTGAGCATTTGTAAGTATTGCCAGACCCTACTTGTCTTACTGAGGGCAGTGGTGGTCCAGTGGTAGAATTCTCACCTGCCGTGCAGGAGACCCGGGTTTGATTCCGGCCAATGCACCTCATGCGCAGCCACCACCCATCTGTCAGTGGAGGCTTGCTTGTTGCTATGATGCTGAACAGGTTTCAGTGGAGCTGCCAGACTAAGACGGCCTAGGAAGAAAGGCCTGGTGATCGATTTCCCAAAATCAGACAATGAAAACCCTGTGAATCACAACGGTCCGATCTGCAACTGATCACGGTGATGGCAAAGGACTGGGCAGCATTTCATTCTGTTGTGAATGGGCTCGCTATGAGTCAGGGCCACCTAGAAGGCAGCTAACACCAGCTGTCTTGGAATAAATGCCACAGGAACTCAAGCAAAGTGCAGCCTCCCTGACCCTCAGTGTTTTCTTCTGTAAAACAAGGTGGTAGAGATATAGTCCATGTGCACCCCACCTTCCTCCCCACTGAGGCAGTCAGAGGTCAGGCCGGAGCTGCTCCCTGCCCACCCACCCCCATCGGGGTGTCGCCAGCCGGCCCAGCACAGTCCAGAGCATCCCACCACCTGCCACAGCCAGGATTGATGTGCCTCAGGGCCACCTGTTTCCTGTTTCCGGCTCAGTAACGGCTGCCACGGCTCCCTGTAAGACTGCCTTTAGTGCAGGGTCAGCCAGATTGCTCCTGTAGCTCAGTGGCCTTGAACCCGACAGGATCTCAGCATGACCCAGGTGGGGCTGGGAGCCCACCTAGGGAAGAGGATCCCAAAGGGGGTTGACAGGGAAGCCCCCGTGGGATTCCTCTGTGCTCCCAAGAGGTTCGGAAGGTGGGCATGTGTCTTAGTTATCTAGTGCTGCTATAACAGAAATACCACGAATGGGTGTCTTGAATAAACAAATTTATTTTCTCAGTTTAAAAAACCCACCCATTGCCATCGAGTCTATTCTGACTCATAGCGACCCTGGTGGTGTAGTGGTTAAGTGCTACGGCTGCTAACCAAGAGGTGGGCAGTTCAAATCTACCAGGTGCTCCTTGGAAACTCTATGTGGCAGTTCTCCTCTGTCCTATAGGGTCACTATGAGTCAGAATCAACTCGATGGTGACAAGTCTCACAGTTCAGGAGACTATAAATCCAAATTCAGGGCGCTGGCTCTAGGGGAAGGCTTTCTCTCTCCGTCAGCTCTGGAGGAAGTCCTTGTCCTTTGGTTCCTTGGTAATCTTCATGTGGTGTGGCATCTATCTTCCCCCAGCTCTGCTTGCTCACTTGCTGGCTAATCTCTTTTATATCTCAAAAGAGATTGACTCATGACACCCCCGAAACTAATACCATTTTATTAGCATAACAAAGGCAACCCATTCCCAAATGAGATTATAACCACAGGCATAGAGGTTAGGATTTACGAAATATTTCGGGGGGACACAATTCAATCTATAACATTCC